AACAGGTGCCATGACACAGCCTTGCTTGGTGCCATTGGTAACATCAAAAGGATCAGAACGCTGACCATCAGATATAACACTAGCTTGCATACCGATATGAAATGAAATGATAGCATTCAACATGTTGTCAAGAAGTTTTTTTCAGAACTTTTCAGAGTGCTTCTCTTTTTAGACCTTCAGCGGCTTTAGTAAGACCTTCAAATACAATATACAGCTCCTTGTTTCGCTCACAAACCTTCGCTGCAACCTGACGTAAGGCAAAAATCATGTCGACAGTGCGACGACCGGAGCGAAATCTACAGTGAGATTCAGGTAGATATATATTTATATATAGCTTACATTCACATCAGCAATTTATACATATATATTTTTATTATTTATATATATATATATATATATATATATATATATATATATATATGAGGAAGAGGTTATTGTAGTTCCAACGAAAGAAAAGTATGTATATTAAAGAAGTGAGAAACCGCAAACGTTTTTTGGTTGTAATGTGGATTGTAATGTGCTTTATTTTCAATTATGGAAATCCACATTACAACCAAAAACGTTTGCGGTTTCTCTTTTTTTAATATATATATATATATATATATATATATATATATATATATATATATATATATATATTTCCCCAGGGAATCGGGTTTCTCTGGCTCATCAGACCACGCTTCAAAGGGTGAATGAATTTAAATTCATTTTTTCACCCTTGGAAGTGTGGTCTAATGATTCAGGGAAAAATTGGACCCTTAAAGTTGTCTGTTTTCATTGAAATAATCGTTCTGATTTAACATTGAGATCCTGGCTTTCATCCTCCTTGGGATTATCCATACGGTTTACCAAGATTTTCATTTATATATGTCCCTGCAAAAAACTTTCTCAAATAGAAGGTGGCGAAGTTGTAATTCCAGCCACCTTTCTTTCGCGGGGCTCGGAACAAACGTTAATATCATGCAATTCCACCTTGAAAGACAATTGGGAAACAATTAGCAACAATTAACAGCAAAAGGAAAATGGCTGATGGAGTGTCTGAAAGCACGTGGGTCAATGGAGACTACGAACAATTTTTACATTCACTTACACACCCCTATACTAAACGGAAAATTTTTAAATACTAGAAAATTCCATAGAAAATGAATTAAATTTTCCTTGTCTGTCATATTCATGAAACATGTTTGTAAGAAAGGTTGTAGTATATATATATATATATATATATATATATATATATATATATATGTATGTATGTATGTATGTATGTATGTATTAAAATGAACCAAAACTTAAGCATTATGTATCTGAAGATTTAAAAAAAAAATATTTAGCATCTAAAAAAGAATTAAGAATATTAAGTAAACTGTAGAAAATTCAATTTTTCCATTTAAATCTCTTTTGTTATGAACAAAAACGTCTCGTTCGTTTTTAACAATGACATATTAGCTTTTTCTTTATACACAATGGATATATATATATATATATATATATATATATATATATATATATATATATATGAATTAAATCGACCGACTTATTTTATTTTTATGAACAAAAGTTAAAAATTCAAATTTGTCAGATGTTCGGAAAATGTTACATTAGAACAACAGTTTCAGGCGTTTTTGCAGAGGTGGCATTTGAACATGTGATTTTGTTTCGCATGTGACTGAAATTGATTATATTTACATATACTGAAATATTCGATCTGTTATATATGACTCATGTGTGGATTGTACATTTTTTCTATAAAAGAGAAACTGAAAGAAAATCCAGATGCATTTTCATCCGCTGATGCTTTTAATTTCTTGAAAGCAAAGAAAAAGTTCTACAAACAACAACAAAAAAATATGTGCCATTTATAGAGATGGTGCCATAACTGAGAGTGCCGTTTGTATGTGGAAATTTTGGTCTGGAATATCAAGAACGTTCCGGCAGGCCTGTAATTGTTAATGATAACTAAATCGAAAACCTGATTAAAAATAGTCCTGCTCTCGTGACACGGATCATCGAAGAGATACTTGACATCTACCAAATGACTGTTGTAAAGAATTTGAAAACAGTTTAATACGTAAATCATTGCGACGTTTTTGCCTCAGGAGAAAAAAATTGATAGGCTTTATTTCTATTAGCGTTTTATGCGAAAACGAAACAAATTAACCCATCTTTTGGGAACATGAACACAGGCGGGGAATGGATTTTGCTGTGACAATTGATGAAAAGCGCCCAGAATTGGTTAATGATTTCTACTATCATGCCAGTTTTTGCGGGTCCAGCAGAAATTGTAACGGTTTAACTGAGGTATCTTGCTACAGTCGACGTAACTCACCGAACGGTGCACCTTTCGATTGCCACTTCGATCTGTACTAAATTCTATTGGTGGGAAAGTTATCAATTCTCCTGATGCCTTGAAAAAATCACTTGGGCCAGCATCTTGACAGAAATTCTAACTTCTAAGGGGATGGAATCTGGTTCCCAATGCTTTTCCGGTCTTTTGAACGGGAATAGAGGGTTTATTCTTTCATTCCTGTTTAGGACTAGGTTGACGATTTCTTTTAAATCTTGTTCATTCTCTTTCACAACTAGTAGCCCCTTGCCTCTTAGTGACCTTATCGCCTTGCTTGGGGTGAATTGATTAAAACAAATATTACTGATAAAATAAAGTTATTTTACGTGTAATGTAAATGGTAATTATTTGGGAGTCGATAGGTTTGTCTATTGACAGGTTCACGCTCCTCTCCTGTCTTTAGATGTTTATCCTTTGATTCCTGTTCTATTCGAAGGTGCCTGACACCAGTATTGTTCAACGGCGTTACTATAGTTGTATCTGCGATTACAAAGTCTCTACTACAACGAGTATTAAAAAAGTGACAACGTGTATTCGTTGACGTTACAAAAGTGGCAACGAGGGCTCTTTGACATCACAATAATAATAATAATAATAATAATAATAATGGTGTTGAGCCTAAATTCAGATTCTCTGATGAATATCTGGAAAGAGTTGACCATTTTGTATCAGGTTGTACGGTGTTAGTATTAATCGAATATAAAACTCGGCATGACAGAATGGGCCAGTATCTGCAATGGAAAATTTTGTAACTTTTACGTGAAAGCGGTATGAACACCACCCAGACCCAGTTAAAATTTCATGTGTCTTGACACACACAAACAATCAAAGCTAATCGTCTAGACATCGTGATCAAAGGCCACAAAAATAGAATGTTCTTTCTTGTTGGCATGTCACTTCCTGTAGACTATAATGTATCTCTGAAGATCATCACAAAAATAAAAATACAAAGATCTTGAAGTAAAAATCTAAAAATGTCAGACGTGAAGATTTCAATAATTCCAGTTGTGACTGAAAGAAAAAGTCTCGATTTGATTGGAAAAATAGTTCTGATGTAAAAATATAAAATGCATATGTGTTTGTAGGTTGTTGAAACGTGACGATGTTATTTATGAATTATACTGCTACTACTATTACTACTACTACTACTACTTATAATAATAATAATAATGAACTAACAAAGAAAAGTTTAATTTGTATCTAACATCAAAAGCTTATTTTAATTGTTGCTGGGATTAAGTAAAACAAATATTACTTCCGGTACCCTCCACAATGATCAAGAACTTTCCTCGGTATTTTGTTTCTTAAATCTGTTTACCAGTTATAATCTGGTGGCTCTCGCCAGCAAAAGCACCTAACTGAAATTCTGCAAAGTATTCCAGCACTGGCCTAAGAATTCTTGTCGATTCCATCAATGTTCCTGTTCAATGCCAATCTTCTTCGACAGAATTTTCAATATTCCTAGGTTTTCGCAAAGCCTAACGAAACTGTAGCAACCGTTATTATTATACATTATAGTTTAGTTCTCTTGCAAATATTTAATATTTATCGTAATTTCCAGGCTCATTGTCAATCGGGTGAAACAGTAATATCAATGATCAGATTAAATTTTATTTAGGATAACTAGATCAGATATCATTTATCATCGATTGACTTGATCTAATCCACAAAAGGTAGCGGTTATCGGCAACGATGATTCCTGAATTCATATTCCGGTCGATGCTGTTCCATTCATTTTTGTATATCCTAAGGAAAGATATTAATCCATCTCTTATTTCTCCATCTATGGGTTAAATAACGGAACAGACCGGGTTTTATAACCTTAATTGGTAACCAGTCTAAGAGAAAGAGAAACTATAGATAAAATAGTAAGGGAGATCTCTACATCTAAACTTTAATGCGACACTGAAATCCAAAGGCGTATTGAGATAGCTAAAGATGCCTTCCAAAAGCTAAGCAGAATATAACGAAATAAAATTAAAAAAAACAACACTAGAAATATGGAAAAGAGAACTATACTATTACGTGATATCTGAATGGAATTAAGTGCTGGACAATCTCCTCAAAAGTTGAAGAAGACACTTAAAGCAACAGAAATTATGTTCCACAGAAGGATGCTGTGGATGACAGATTTTGTGAGCAACGACGAAGGTTTAGAGAAAATGGAATGAAAAAGGAAACTTATACTTAACATCAAGAAGAGACAGTTGAAATTTCTAGAGTATATAATGAGGATAGAGGAAAAAATGATATTCACAAGACGAATTGAAGGCAAAAAAGACAGGAAAGCAATGCATAACATATTTACTAGGCTTTAGTAAATGGATGGCGGAAAAGGGTTTAGGAGAAATAACAGAAAGACAAAATATATTAAGAGCTACAAGGGAGAGGAAGATGTGGAGAGCCATGATCGTCTACGTCCAGAGGGGACTCGGCAAATAAAGACAAAAGGCAACCAGGCTAGGGGGACCATTTCTGAAATCAAAAACCGTCGAGATAATGACGGGAAACAGTTGTCTTTCCGAATAATGCATGGGAAATAAATAATAAGGGAAAGAAAACTGTGGAGGACCATGATCTTCTATGTCATACAGGAAGATGGGATTTTAAAATATGATTAGCCCTGAACAGGATTATTTGATTGATCGACAAATTCTTAACGTTTCTGTTTTTCTGAGACTGGCTTAGACTTCGATTTGGAATGACTCTTGGAAAGAAATGTATGACTTTCTGTAAGAATGTGTCTCTGAAGAAGACTGGCGCATAAGCTGAAGCAATCAGTGACCGACTGCTTGCGAAAAGTGAAACGAGAACAAGAGAGAGAGAATGAGAGAGAAAGAGTAAGAGAGAGAGAGAGAAGTGAGACAGAGAGAATGAGACAGAAAAAGTGAGGGAGAAAGAATGAGAGAGAGAATGAGAGCGAAAGAATAAGAGTGAGAGAGAGAATGAGAGAGAAAGCGAAAGAATGAGAAAGAGAATGAAATAGAAAGAGCGAGGGAGAAATAATGAGAGAGAGAATGAGAGAGAAAGAGTGAGAGAGAATAAGGGAGAGAAAGAATGAGAGAGAGAGAGAGAATGAGATAGAAAGAGTGAGGGAGCAAGAATGACAGAGACAATGCGAGAGAGAATGAGAGAGAAAGAGTGAGAGAGAATAAGAGAGAGAAAGAATGAGAGAGAGAGAATGAGATAGAAAGAGTGAGGGAGAAAGAATGAGAGAGACAATGCGAGAGAGAATGGGAGAAAAAGAGTGACAGAGAGAATGATAGAGAGAGAAAGAATGAGAGAGAGAGAATGAGATAGAAACAGTGAGGGAAAGCGAATAAGAGAGAGAGAGAGCAAGAATGAGATAGAAAGATTGAGGAAGAAAGAATGAGAGAGAGAGAGAGAATGAGCGAGAAAGTGTGAGAGACAGAATGAGAGACAGAGGAAGAATAAGAGAGAGAGAATAAGATAGGTAGATTGAGGGAGAAGAATGAGAGAGAGAATGAGAGGGAGAATGAGAGAGAAAGAGAGAATGAGAGAGAGTGAGAGAGAGAGAAAGAGCGAGTAAGAGTGAATTAGAGAAAATTAGGAGAGAATCGCTATAAAATTCGGACGAGATTGTCGATTCATTGTATGTCGACATTGCAAATTGCAGGTGTTTTGCGAGTTGGTTGCCTCCAGATAAGGAAATATCGTTTGCTAATAATGAGACATTCTTATATATCTGTTAGATAAATATGTATGTATAAACCTCACATACAGTGATATATTAACTGATTTTAGTATCTAATCTATTGCGTATATATTGCTAGTAAATATAATGCTAGTACATACATACACACACATATACACACACACATATATATAAATATATATATATATACATATATAAAACAGTATTTCTGAAATTTTAAATATATATATATACATATGAATATATATATACACATATATATATATATATATATATATATATATATATATATATACAGACATACATGAATATATATATCATATATAGAGACACATATATATCGTAAAATATATCATCGTAATGATAAATTTAAATAATAAATTTTTTCATAATTAAAATCATATGCATTAATCTGTCAGCCTCGTTTTCAAAGCACTTTGAAAAGATCGCATCAAAAGCTATCATGCGCAAAGAGTAGATGACATTGTTGTTCCGACGAAAAATGGAGGCGGTTATTGAAGAATATTGAGAGATCAATTCTTGCAAATCTATCACAGGCTCTTCATTATCTATCTATCTATCTATCTCTGCTTATCTATCTATATATGTATATCTCTATCTCAGTCTGGTTATACATCTATGTATCTATACATCTATGTTTATATATATATATATATATATATATATATATATATATATATATATATATATATATATATATATATATATATATATATAAAAAAGGCTTAAACACTAATATTCCATGGTCATAATTTCTTGGAAGTTTTTATTCAAAAAATATATATGTATGTGTATGCATATGTATGTGTATATTTACCACTAATATTATCTATCTATCTATCTATCTATCTATCTATCTATCTATCTATCTGTGTATATATATATATATATATATATATATATATATATATATATATATATATATATTCATATCCTTAGATATATCACACTTTCTTTATTATCTATCTATCTGTCTGTCGGTATATATGCCTATATATTCATATGTCTTTAGATATGTCACACATTTTTGTCATTATCTATCTATCTATCCCATTCTCTTCATATCTATCTATCTATTTCTCAGTCTGTTCATATCTATCTATCTATCTATCTATCTATCTATCTATCTATCTATCTATCTATCCCATTCTCTTCATATCTATCTATCTATTTCTCAGTCTGTTCATATCTATCTATCTATCTATCTATCTATCTATCTATCTATCTATCTATCTATCTATCCATCTATCTATCCTATCTCATTCATATCTATCTATCTATTTCTCAGTCTGTTATATCTCATCTATCTATCTATCTATCTATTATCTATCTATATATATATATATATATATATATATATATATATATATATATATGTGCGTGCTTATGTGTCTACTTATTTTTATACTAATCCTTTCCAGTTGTCCAATCAGTTTCTTGATGTTCAGATGAAATTCATCAAGGAAGACGCTATAGTTTTTTCTACCAATTTTTGACCGAAACTCTTGTTTTGCAAAAATTACACCTAAATTAAAAATTAGGGGAAAAAAACAATAACAGAACGTGTTTGAAAGGTGTTTAAAAAAAAGAAGAAAAAAGGTCACCATCGCAACGGTATGCAGATTGAATCACAGTTACAATAAGTTTTCAACAATTTAACACGGGAGATGATGGTGGAAGACATTGAAATTACTTGGGCAGGAAAATTTTACAACGCCTTGATGAATTTCATCCTAACGAATTAGACACAATATGTCTGTATTGTTTAATGAGACACATTTAAATAGAGATATGCTGCCTAAATATATATATATATATATATATATATATATATATATATATATATATATATATATATATATATATATATGTAATTCAAATGTAAATGGATATAAATAGAATGAAGAAAAACTTGAAAAAAAACAAAATCCTTCAATTCAATTAAATTGTTTTAAAATGAATGAAATGTCAGACGTCGACATTTCATTCATTTTAAACAAATATAATTGCATTTATGATTTTGTTTGTTTTTTTCCAAAGTTTTATATATATATATATATATATATATATATATATATATATTTATATAAATAAAAAGAAAGAACAGTAAGATATATAATCCAGTGTTCTTATAGATATTTTTATTTTTAAAAGTTACTCAAAAATTCGCTTGAGGAGGAAATAGAACTAATGTCTTTAATTTAATTACAAAATTAAAGTCGGGGCTTTTAGCTTCCATTTTTGAAACATGGTTAGAACTGTGTAGCGGAAAAAACCATATTTTAAATCAATTAATTTATAATATATATATATATTGTGTATATTTAGGCAGCAATTTTTCATTGATGTATGTTTCATTAAATAATATAGACAAGTTTTGTCTATTTTAAGTAAGTTCCTTTCAACTATACTTAAACATGAAAACAATAAACAAAAACTAAAAATTCTTGAAGCTATATACATAAAACACTTAAAACCTAACCTGTACAAAATAAACTACGAAATCTCCACAAATATTCTTAAATGCCTATAATAGATAACAAAAGCCATTTGTTCATACCAACGGCTTCCCATACTTAATACTTCTTGTTTTCACTCTCGCGTGGTCATGTGTGACGTCATGAGCTGCGACGCGATTTTCGCTTCCGCGATTTTCGCTTCCGCGATTTTCGCTTTCGCGATTTTCGCTTCCGCGATTTTGTTTCCGCGATTTTCGCTTCCGCGTCTCGTATACACGTATAAGTCGTTGCTTTGAAATTTTTCATGCAACAAAAACAGACTATCATTATTGTTTAGTCCATATATTGTTTGATATAATGAAATGTAATTGTCATCTTTGATTATGACTTATGTAAGACGAAAGCTTAGATTGGATTTAAACATGTATCAATATGGTGATTTCTTTTCGTCCTTCAATGATAATGCTATTAAGCTTATCAGATAATATGAAAGGAACTTACTTAAATAAACAAAGCTTGTCTATATTATTTAATGAAACATGCATCAATATATATATATATATATATATATATATATATATATATATGTTTAATGCAAAAGATTCTGCATTCAACATCATCACTTGATAAGACACCAGAAGATATGGCTATTTTTATAGTGATTTTATCATACAATGTTATAATTTTCGAATAAATAATATATATATATATATATATATATATATATATATATATATATATATATATATATATATACTTGTGCAAATTTATTGAAACAACTGCTGTAGTTTCCTTTTTTTCACCATTCGATCAGTTTTAGATCCACTGGAGTGACAGGGTGTAATCGATTTCTATTTTTTCCTCAGATGATGTCATTAGCAGTGGTGTGCAGCAATATGAACCTATTTTCGGGGTCTATGATGAAATTTGTTTGGCCTTGAAAACTATTGCGCCATCCGTGATCGCATCAGATTTTTATCACGCCCAAACACTATTGACCCGGCTATCGATTAGCTGTTCTACGGCCATTGTCTGTGATGGACGTTACTTCAAGGAAGTTTACGAAAATTGCAGCACTGCACCAACAGATTGGCGAGCCTTACCAGTGCGATAATCGAAGTACTGGTCCGGAAACTCTGCTGATTTAAATCCAATCGAGAATCGGTGGTCAATCTTTGTGGAATGGACATACGAGGTACTAACATGTGCACTGGGTCAAGATTAATCAGAAAAAAATACGAAAAAAGTAAATAATATATGAACTGGGTCATGTTTCATTGGAAAAATATAAAAAACTAGCAGTAGAGCCCGGCGTTGCCCGGGGATGTAACAGTAAGAGAAAGATCAAGTATCAACCATCATAAAGACTGAAAAATAAAATTGACAAAGATTATTGTTTAAGGTTGACGGACACGCATGTCTTAATTATTTTTTTTTTTTTTTTACGAATTGATCAAACCCAAACTCAAACAAAAACATTGTTTTCAATCGTTATGAGTCTACCGATTGAATAGAATTTTATTATAAACAATTGTCTTGTAAATGGAATTTTTAAAGCATTCTGAATGTAAAAATAAAGAAAGAAGTGTGCAAGACAATAAGAAACACTACCTGCCAAAAAAGAAAATGAAGTTTTGTTGAAATCGGTTGAAAAATGTAGGAAATCCGATCCCATATATAAACGAACACACACGCACACACACACACACACACACACACAAACAAACAACCTGGGTTTTATAATAAGTATAACTCGATATGAGTTGTCCCCCTTTCATTCTCGTGATGCCTCTTAATCGTGTTTTCAAATTGATTTCGGGCAAAAACACTTGTATTTTTCCAATTTTTGGCGCTGTTAGAACCACCGTAATGTAATTTTATGTAGTCCTGTGACGTTTTGTTGAAATCGGTTGAAAAATGTAGGAAATCCGATCCAATATATAAACGTACACACACACACACACACACACATACAAGCTGCGTTTTATAATAAGTAAGATAATAAGAGAATTATTCGTTTTGCTTCAATTAATTTGTACAAGGGCGTATATATATATATATATATATATATATATATATATATATATATATATATATATATATGAAAATAAAGAGCCCAGTAAACCTACCTAGGTTTCATCTACGCGGGATTGTCAGGGTACACTCTGTTCTAATTTTACGTCTTTGGCCAGTGTACTGACTGACGTTAGTGAAACCTAGGTAGGTTGCCTGGGCTCTTTAGGTTCATAGTTAGATTTGCTCTATTTAGTGTATTGAGCACTTTGTTTAGTTACTTTTGCTTTACTCGTGTTGGAAGTTTTTTTTTCTTTGGACTCTGAGCTTGGATTCTGGACGATTGTTTTCGTATCAATTTCATGTTCTTAGTTCTTTCTTTTTTTATACATTATTTTACCTTTGGTAATTGTTTGTTCATTTACAAACCAAAACACCTAAGGTTTTTCCAGACGAGTATAACTATATAATATATATATATATATATATATATATATATATATATATATAGTGATTTGGAAATTATTACTAAAATCAGATAATTATAGGATTTATTCATAAATTAATGTAATTAATTTTTAAACCTTTCTCTTTTAGAAAGTCATATTTAAAATATATTTCTTTTACATTTAACTAGAACATATTTAATTATGAAATTTCCTGAATTATGTTGTGTAGCGTTTAATATTTCTATTAGTCATAAGAACAAGCCCTCGGAGATTTTAATACAGCAAATTTATTGTCAAGCTTGACCAAAAAGCCTCTCAGAATCGGAAAATTAAAAAAGCAACAAATCTAAGGCATTATCCCCTTTGAAACAAAATTGAAATCTCCCTTAAAAAACATAAATGTATGCATCAGAACTGTGGACCGTTTATCAGACCGTTATCAATTAAATTGACATCTGGATAATCGAATTGTTTTGATGCAATAGCACCTCAGATTGGCTAGTCATTTTACCAGGAGAAATGAAGACAGAATACCTAATGTCTTTGTGTAGAGCTAGCTTCATGATCACGCAGATAACGTTTGAAGAAACAAGCTGAGCTTCAAGGAAAAGCTTAGATACAATTTGGAATTTGTCTACACCGGAATCCCCAGAAGAAGTTGGCATGTATATCCCTTACTTAATGGATACCTAACAAAGAGGAATCAACAATTTTGAAAAGAGTGACATAGAGAACGATTCGAAAAATTATCTGACAATGCCATCAGCTGCCATGGGGAAGCTTGATGTTTGCAGGTTTCTTGCAGGATAAGAATCTCGCAAAAGACCCCAAAATAAGAATTAGATCATAACACTGAATTGCTGTACTATAACAAATCAAAGTCGATAGGAGATTCATATATATATATATATATATATATATATATATATATATGTGTGTGTGTGTGTGTGTGTGTGATTCGCAAACAGTACTGTTTCGCTGTATTACAGTTCCTCAGTGCCATTAGACATCCGAATGCCTCGACCCAGGATCGAAACCCAACGTGCTGTCAATCAGAGCTTCTACAACTGAGCTATCTTCATCGGCAGAGTGAAACAGCTAAATCTAGTCTATTCTTTTTACGAATGTAAACAAATGCCAATCAGCCGAAGCGATCTATTCATTTTACTGAAGAGCTTTGCATTAACGCAGGTGGCTGTTGTTTATAGAATTAGCTTATCACACAACAGTGCTCAATTGAAATATATTTCTCAAGAGCTAAATGAGATATATATATATATATATATATATATATATATATATATATATATATATATAGATAGAAAGAAACAGGAAACTTCTGTTCCTTATCTTATCATTCTATCAGATTCCAATGTATATTTTATCTTATTCTATTTCTGAATCATATTTCCCCTCTGGATTACATCCTCCATGGCATTATCTATACGAATTACCAAACATTTCATTACCTAACTATATATATATATATATATATATATATATATATATATATATATAGATAGATAGATAGATAGATAGATAGGTAGATAGATAGATAGATAGATAGATAGATAGATAGATAGATAGATAGGAACCTGTGGTAGATACATAGATGGATAATGAAGAACTTGTAATAGGTAAATGTATAGATAATGAAGAACCTGATATATATATATATATATATATATATATATATATATATATATATATATATATATATATATATATAGAGAGATATATATATAGATAGATAGATAGATAGAGATAGATAATGAAGGGCCTGTGATAGATTAGCAAGAATTGATCTTTCAATATTCTTCAATAACCGCCTCCATTTCTCGTCGGAACAACAATGTCATCTACTCTTGGCGCATGATAGCTTTTGATGCGATCTTTTCAAAGCGCCTTGAAAACGAGGCTGATTTCATTTCATTTGTGTTTAATTCCCGCGTTGCAGTTTCTGAAGAAAGACAAAGAAATGAAAATCATTAACTGTCAGAGGAGGAAAGAAATATTTCTTTGATTTCCCTTTATTTATACATGTGACGTAATGGAATCTGTGTTTAGTTTAATCTTGTCTGGATCTGATAATTGTAAGCTTTGCCACCTTTTGATCGTAACCTGAAATCTTCAAGTGATTCTAAAAGACAAATGAAATTCTTTTGCTTTTCTTCGCGTGCCGGATTTTATCTTTTTTAAAAGCCAATGGCTGATTTGGCAGTTGCATACGCCCGCCAAATATTTTTACTTTACCTGTGTCAAAGCAATAAAGCACAACAAAGGAAATGGAAGAAAGTCAAACGAATGAAAAGGAAGAAAGACAAAAAAAAAGAAACAGGAAAAAAGAGAAGACATGAGAAAAATACAGAAGAGAAAGAAAGGAATAAAAGGAAAGAACGAAATAAAATTATAGAAAAAGAAATGAAAGGAAAGAAGTAAAGAAAAGAAAAGAAAATCAAATGCATAACAATAAGTAAAAGAAGAAAAGAAAAAAAGAAAAAGAAAGAACAGAAAAGAAAGGAAGAAAGAAAGAAAGAACAGAAAAGAAAGAAAGAAAGAAAGAAAGAAAAGACAAAGAAAAGAAAGAAAAACAAAGAAAAGAAAAACGGTAAAAAAAAAAAGAACAGAGGGAGTGGCAGACAGGCAAAAAGAAAGAAAGAAAGAAAGAAAGAAAGAAAGAAAGAAAGAAAGAAAGAAAGAAAGAAAGAAAAACAAAGAGAAAGAAAGACAAACAGGCAAAGTAGATCAGGTAGACAGACAGACAGACAGACAGAAAGAAAGAAAGAAAGAAAGCAAAAAACAAAGAGAAAGAAAGAAAACAGACAGAAAGAAAGAAATAAACAAAAACAAAGTAAAAGAGGGAGAAACAGGCAGAGAAAGAAGAAAAGGAAGAAAGAAAAACAGGCAAATAAAGAACAGAAAGATTTTCTAAGCGCGGTTTAGATATGGCTCAAGGCCGAAAGTATGGGGCACCCAGTGAGAATCGAACGCACTATTCAATCATAATTGATCAAACAAAACAATATTTCTAACCATTACAGAACGTCGGGGTAACCAAGAAATAGTACTAGTTTTATGATCATATTTTTAAACAAGTGGGGGAGTCACACCAGATAAAACTTATTATTTTTGAAAAAGTTAAAAATCTTGTATTTTCGCTGACCGGTTACACTAAAGAGGTATTTCTTCTCCGTAGTGGTTAAATTTATGCAAAAAAATCAGGGGTCGCACTTGATATGAAGTCGACTCATGCACAAGCATATACGGTAAATGAAAGGAAAGCAAACGATAAGAAATAAAATAAAGAGAAAGAAAAGAATGAACGAAAGCGAAAGGGAATATATATATATATATATATATATAAAGGAAACGTAATGAATGAATATAGGGAAAATGAAAGGACTTAAACTAGAGAAGAATAAATTGAAAAGAACAGAAAAGAAATTCAAAAGCCAATAAAGAAAATGAACTGCAAAAAGCAGCAATGAAAAACAAAAGCTCAAGAAAGAATGACAATAATCCAACGTTTCCGAGTAATAAAATGAAAGTCCACAAATCTGATCGGTTCGATAAGGTCAAAAGGGATTAAAATCTGCTGTTAACTGGGAGGACATGGAATGATATGTTAATTTTGACGCCACAAAAACAAAACTGCTTTCTATTTAACACTAGGATGGCCGAGGTGTCGTTTTCGACACCTTCAAATTTTCAACCAATTCCTATGGAATAACTAGTTTTGGTTTGATGCTGAGGCTTATGGACAATTATTGAATTTTAGCAAAGATGCTTAACAGACTTAATTCTTTAAAAAATATTCAGTGGAATAGCTGATATTTGAGGTTTTACCTTGAATAACTGAGGTCTGGTTTTTTGACACTTAGGCTATTTATAGGGTAAAATGCATTGAAAAATTTCTCACAAGCAATAACAAGTCAATAATACTTGTGTTTATGTCCCCATCTATCTATTTATCTATCTATCTATACACACACATATTTTTTATATATATATATATATATATATATATATATATATAATCATATATATTCAGTATATATATACTAATATTTGTGAATTTCTTTTTCAGACTTGTTATTCCTGACTTGAATATTGAATATATTAGAGATGGCTGCTTCACGTCGTAATGGAAATAAAGATGTCAAAGGAGCTGGCAATCCTAGTGTTAATCAGCTGTCAGGCTCATTTCTGCCTTCCATCGGCATGAACTTTCTGATAAATTTTTCTCTATGGTACGTAGACTTTATGAATTTAAGCGCAGTACTAGATTAGAAATAAGGTCCCATTAACTTAAAGCTGAATTAGCTAGATGTAAGCGAAAGTTCTATGCTAGCAGGTTATTTTCGCACATTCACTTCGGGAACTCTTTACCGGCTTCTTGCTTTCCAGTCAACTTTGATCTTGAAATACAATGTCAATGGTTATCTATAGTCTTATTAATTCCTCTTCCTTAAAAATGTTTTCTTTTTCTTATTTCCCCTTTAGTAACTCTGTATGTCGTAGTAACTTTATTGCCTTGCTTGTGGTGAAATGATTAAAAAATAATATTAGAACAGTTAGTCATAATTTGTTTAAAAATAATACTTGATTTAAATTTGTTTTCTACTTCAGCGATTTATGTATTTAAAAAGAAATATATATATATATATATATATATATATTTATTCGGTTTGTTTTTTTTTTCAATGTAAAGGCGTCATAGAAATGACAAAGATTTGTGCTGTTCAAGTCAAGTCGGATGCACGAGAGAGACCTACCGCAAGTGGTATCGACAGATTTTAGCGAAAGATGGGTGACTATAGCAAGCCTGGTTCGCGTGAAAGGGGCTAGCCTTGATTTTCTTTTTTTAAATCTCCCTAAGTGACATCGGGGCGGTTTCCTGTGGAGCACTCTGGTTAAAATGGACTCTTCTTGCGTATTTAGTTAATGTGAGTAAGTGTTGTTTTTGCACTGTTTCCGTCTTCTTCAATGGTTAGGATCCAATCCAAGATTCCCAACCTCCTCGGTTTATTTTTACCCCCCTTTTTTCATCTCGACTTAGTCAGTATTTTCCCAGTCCGTATTTATTTTTTCTTTCCCTCTCCTTTAGCGCGAGACCCCCTTGATTGTCTCTGTAGACAGAATAAAGAGGTCCCTGTCATTTCTTTTGGGCGTTGGATGCGTCCTACTAACATCAATTATTTTTAGCTTGTGTGCTATATTTTAGTTTGGTCTTGGGTTCATTCCCCACCCTACTCATTGCTTATCATCAATAATATTTTATATATAATTTTATATTCAAGTATTTTAATGGCATAGATGCTTTTGTAGTTTTTTTTTTTCCCTGAGTGGATGTGGTATTGTGATATATGTAAAAGATGACGGATGAGGTTTTGTTATGGTTGTGTAAATTTTAACGAATGAATGGGTCGTGAATAAGATTAGCTCGTTATAAAATAGCCTCAACCCATTTTTAGCCCTTTTTGGCCTTGCGCAGGCCAATATATAAAGTGGGTAAGAGAAACCCTTTTTTTATCACTAAAAATTATCTAAGACATAATGAATAAGTTCTGTCTATATCTCTGAGATGAGGCATTATGATTATGTGCATTATTTATATTTATATATATTATTCAGACTGTTATCCCCATCTTCACTGCAATATTCACAACATTTCGGCCGTTCTACGCTCCGGCCTATGTCTCTCTATATATCTGTCTATATCTCTGAGATGAGGTATTATGATTACTTGCATTATTTACATTATTCTGACTTTTATCCTCATTTTCATTGCCATATTCACAACGTTTGGGCCGTTCTACGCTCTGGCCTATGTCTCTCTATATATCTGTCTATATCTCTGAGATGAGGTATTATGATTACTTGCATTATTTAAATTATTCAAACTGTTATCCTCATCTTCATTGCCATATTCACAACGTTTCGGCCGTTCTACGCTCCAGCCTTTATGTCTATGTCTCTCTATATATCTGTCTATATCTCTGAGATGAGGTATTATGAATGCTTGCGTTATTTAAATTATTCAGACTGTTTTCCTCAACTTTATTGACATATTCGTTTCGGCCGTTGTACGCTGTCCACGTGATTGCAATTACGAACCGCATTCTTTATTTCGCCTTCTTACTTTTAAGTCAACTCTGCCGTGGCCTGGAATTGAACTCACAATTCTTTGGGTCTTACAATCCTAATGTCACATTAACAATTTTTTTTTCCAGTGCTCATATTGCAATTTTTGTTATTATTCTATCCGGCTTTCTTTTAATCTCACCAGTATTTGATCACAACATTCTGATCCACTCGATAAGGCCAAATTCGCAGCTGATCTCAAAAATGGCATATAATTTGCTGTTAATTGATGCACAAATGGTCTGTTAATTTTATCGCCCCCAAAAACAAATTTCTCTCTATTAATCAACTGAGATGCCCCTTCCATGAGCATGGCTGATGCTAACCTCCAGAAGACTGGTCTGTTGCGCGTTATAGGACTAACAGTGTCTACTGACATGGAGGGGGAATATAATATTGAATCCAATGTTAGGTCTGGTGCTAACAAAGTTGATTCACTGTGTCGGGTGAGATAATTTTTCTCTCCAGAATCTATCTTACATATTTATAAGTCTACCATTCGTCCATGTTTCGAATATTGCAGCTACATAGGGTCTGGTGCTCATGCTATATATTGAGAGATTCTAGATAAAATCCAAAGAAAAATCCGCAATATTAGTCGTCTTAACCTGGTATATCGGCTTCAGTCACTTTTCAAACACTATCATGTAGCTTCGCTCTGCCTTTTCCATAAGTACTTTCATGACAATTGCTCTCTGAACTCTGTTGTACTTAGACTTTATGAGTTTAAGCGCGGTCCTAGATTGGTGACTAGACTCATCAGTTTTCAGTTGAATTGACGAGATTTTCTACGCTAACTTTTCTCTCAATCCTCATAGTTGAAATGATTAGATGTAACCATAAGTTTTATGCTAACAGTTTCTTTTTAATCGCACTTCTCGCTTGTGGAACTCTTTTCAGGCTTCTTGTTTTCCAGCCAACTTGGATCTTCAGAAATTCAAATGCAATGTCAATCGTCATCTACTCTTTTCTTGACTCCTCTTTTTATTGTTCTTGTCACTTAATAAAGTTTTTTTTTTCTTATTCCTTCACACTCAATAACCACTTGTGTCTTAGTAGCTTTATGCCATGCTTGGGTTGAAATGAGTAAAAACATTGTCCTAAAAGGCAAGAAAGTATATTAAATTTGTGGTCAAAGATGACAAACTATTTCCTTTTCATTTTGAATTTTGCAAGCAGACTTGATCGTATGTATTTATTCATGAATTCTTGTTACTGTTTCAATTTTAGTTAAAGACGCTTTACGACTCTTCATAATGATTGTGTTCATAACTGTACATTATTAGCGGAATGTAGAGACAAATTTCGCTTTTGTAAAACATGCACATGCAGAAGTCTTCATCGGTATAGAAGTAACTTACTGATCTTTGCAACCATGGCAACCGATTCTTAATCTTGCCTCGGGCTAAATTTATCAGTGCTTCTTCATTTATGTGTCTTTATGGTAAATTGAGAAGATTTTAAGATATTTCAGCAATTTTCGCTTTGAGATCAAAGATTTTTATGGAATATTTTATTTTTGAAATGACTGGAATGGTATTGACTCCTATTATCTCGCTATTCCACTCTAGAGACTTTCTGTTCCTCTTTAATTTCCATCTACATCATATATATATATATATATATATATATATATATATATATAAGTGAACATTGAAGTCAATGCTTACAGGCGACAGGCTGTTTCATGCTAGACACAATCGTGTTGAGGTTATGAAAGTAAGCTTCATCTGATGTTAGAATGATAAACGTTTGTTCTTTATTTTCGCATTCTGTGAGATTCCAACCCATATTTGATCTATATTTGACTCCATAAGCACACGCGCGCACACACATACATACACACATACAGACACAAATATATAAAGTGAACATTGAATTGAAGTCAACCCAGAGTCGACGCAACTGTGGTGGGCTGACGATTGCGTCTAGCAGGAAACAGCTTGTCGCCTCTAAGTGTTGACTTCAATGTTCACTGTTATATTTACACACGCTCTATCTCTGATATTTAGCCCTTTATCCCATAAATATAGCACACCTTAAGACTATATTTCTTCATATATATATATATATATTATGGATATAGTGTATATGTTTCATTGTGGTATTTGTTTTAATTAAGATTTTTGATTATTAGTCTGTTGGTATCTGTAGATATGAATGTATATGTGAGTGTGTGCTCGAGTAAAATATGTATATATTGATATGAGTATATGCGTATGAGTGTGGGTGTGTGCTCGAGTGAAAAAGAGATTATTAGTGTGAGTGTATATTTATGGGTGTGAGTGTATGTGCCTGAGTGCGACTGTCAGCTAGAGTGACAACTTGGCACTATTACTGCGCGTGTGTGTGTGTATGAATATGAGTGCATATGCGGGAGTTTGTAAGTGGATGTTCGAGTAAAACATTTGCGATTACTAGTTCATTAAGCATATACACAAACGAATATAAAATTATTTGAATGTGTTCAGTATATTCAAGAGTAAAAGCACACGTAATATAGCTTGTTTACAGTATTGATTAACAGCTCTGTTTTTTACGGTTTATCAACCCATTTTTGTTTATTTAAAGCCCCACAAAATCTGTATTGTAAGAATGCTTATTTTAATTTTCGTGCGAATATTGCAATAAAAATTAATTTGGCGGTAATAGCCCTACTATATAACCCATAACCAAGGAAGAAGAGACGGTTCATGCCTTTTCTTACTAGAATTCGAACTCCGCTCTGCTGATTTCTCATTCCGGTCGTCTATCCATAACGCCACCCGCACGTCTTAGTTCGGGGGCAAACGATCCATTATACAAGTTAGTGCTTGCACTAGTTTTACATTCAGCTATATCTCTTTTTATGCACTCTGTATCATCTAAAATGTAAAGAGAGGTATGTACGGTTGTCAGGATGTGTTCGGACAGAGGGCGAATAACATATTGTTACATCGCTTGCAGCAGCTGACGGAATGCAGCAAGAGTTTTAAGTGAATTAACTGAACGAGTCCAGTGTCGTCATATGTGTGATTCATGTTCAATCGAAGACACGCCGTCGATCGTACCGATCAGGGAGGTGGTTTAATATATTGCAAAAGTATCGCGATAAATACCTCGTCTCGTAAGACCTGTTTAGTGTTACTTGGACAGGAGATGGGCACAGCCAGATAATCCTTATTGAATCAATAAATGCTATAAAGGAATATGCAGGCTACCCTGATAATAATTATATGACGTGAATAATGTGTTACAAATTCCCTTCTGTAGCGTGCGCCAACTGTCTTGGGGTAAGAGTCTACGACTAATGACATATCGAAGCAATCGCGTGTCTAGACACACCGAAGAGCTGTAATATAGCGGAAAAGTCTGCCTGTGGATGACTATATATATATATATATATATATATATATATATATATATATATATAACGTCATCCACAGATAGACTGTTTCGCAGCTCATCAGTGTGACTAGAATCGAAACCCGACTGAATTAGTGTCAGCCGGAGATTCTAACAATTAAGCCGTCGGCGCACGGTAGGGATGAAAGTGGATTTTAGCGTATTTATTCTTAGAAACACGCCCAGTGACCGACAGTGACACAATTCGCATCTGCGAAGAGTCTCGCTATAATAGTCACTGTTTACCAACCCACACCTCATCCCCAGAGAGCTCAAATGAAATTGATATTTCAGGAGCCAATATAACGTCATCCACAGGCAGACTGTTTCGCTGTTTCACAGCTCATCAGTATATATATATATATATATATATATATATATATATATATATATATATGTATATTGGAAAGTGTTCAATATCAGCGATAGAGCTAACATGTTCAGTTTTATGGATATGAGATCGTGAGCCTGGGTTTCACGTTCTTTGATTTATTTTCTAAAAGTTCGATATATTTATGATTGTTTGTGTTTGACTATGTTTGGTGGTGTGTTGGTGTGGGTAACACTTTTATACACATAGACACACGTACATATATGTGTACGCATTATAATTCACACAAACATACCAATATAAACAATCTGATATATATATATATATATATATATATATATATATATATATATATATATATATATAAATATTTATTAAAGACATTTTTATTTATGTTTAACGTTGTTATTTTATAGATACAAGTATTTAAGCAAATGCTCTGTTTAAGATAAACAGTATTAAATAACATTTACCGGCCTGAATGTCCGAGAAATTTTCATAGAAAATATTCGTTCATAGACAGGATTCGAATGACATATGACGTCATTTGTTTACATTCGATACGCCAGAGCAGTTATGAATGTACGAGATTCATGGAAGATTGCAGTTTATAACAGTAAATTCGACCTTGTCTACCATAAGGTTCATGGTGGCCTGAGTGGTTAAGGCATGTCAGCGTATATGACAGTTCCGTATAGGATGCAGGTTCGAATCCTGTCTATGAACGAATATTTTCTATGAAAATTTCTCTCGGACATTCAAATGGTAAATGTTATTTAATACTGTTTATCTTAAACAGAGCATTTGCTTAAATACTTGTATCTATAAAATAACAACGTTAAACATAAATAAAAATGTCTTTAATAAATAAATTGTCGGACCTTGTCCATTTCTTAACATATATATCGTATTGTTTTTTCTGGTATGTTTGTGTGAACTCTCTCTCTCTCTCTCTCTCTCTCTCTCTCTATCTATATATATATATATATATATATATATATATATATATATATGATTACTGATATTTTTGACAGAGAAAAGAATACCAGGAACAAAACGGTCTAAAATATTACCGTAGCTGTTGAGATGCCAGATAACTAATTATGTTGTACTCGTCTTTTATTATTAGCGTTATTACTTATTTACGCAACGCTCAGCCTTTCGCTTAGTCTGCTTGGATTCAGTTCTTTCGTCCAAAATCGATCGATCTCTCCATTCTTTTCATATTTATCGATTTAGTCATTGATCTGTCCCCGTCTGTTCAGATAGTGCCATCTTAATTGTCTAAGTAACGTGTAAATACCGCTAATAGAACATTTTAAACAAGGAAGTCAAAATCTTCATTCATTCTAATTATTACATAGACAATGACAGAAATAATAGGCGCTTGCGACCATATCACGCTGAAATACCAGTTCCCGTACGATCACCGAATGGCTATGTGAACATTGTTCGAAAATGATTGTTCGAAAACTTTGACACTGTAATGTGTTGTTTTTTTGTTTTTTTTAATTTTTTTAAAAAATTGTTTGCCACAAATAAGGCAAAATAAATAACTACATTCGAATCCATAATTATTTTTACTCAATATTATAATATAAAACACAACCGGTACCGCCCACCCAATAACCGATAGGATAATACACTAAACCTTGCTACCTATAATGCACCGTTAAGAAAATACAATATACCTTGTTACACATAATGCACTGTTAGGATAATACAATAAACCTTGGTAACCTTAAAGCACCGTTCGGATAATACAATAGATATTGCTACCCATAATGCACCGTTAGGGTAATACAACAGACCTTGTTACTCATAATGTACTGTTAGGATAATACAATAGACTTGCTACAGATAATGCCCCCTTAGGATAATACAATAGATATTGGTACCCATAATGCACCTTTAGAATAATACAATAAACCTTGCTACCCTTAATGCACCGTTAGGATAATAAAATAGATCTTTCTATCCACCATTGGTCAGGATATATATATATATATATATATATAGAGAGAGAGAGAGAGAGAACATAAGAAACATGTTCGAAAGATGCGCGATCAAGTATGAAACAGACGGCTGAGTGTTGGCTACATGAACGCACACACATATCTATATGTGTGTATATATATATATAAAGATATTTTTTATGTTTATACATTCTTTTATAGATACAAATATTTAAGTAAATGCTCTGTTTATAATAAACAGCATTAATAACATTTACCGGCCTGAATATCCGAGAAATTTTCCTAGAAAATATTCGTCCTCCGATAGGAATCGAACCTGTATCCTATACGCAAACCGTCATATAGCCTGACGTCCCTTAACCGATTGAGCCACAAAAGATCATTCGGTTAGTGAGGTCGATTTTACTGCTTTTAAACTTCAATCTTCCATGTATCTCTCTTGTACATTTATATCTGCTCAAAGCGTATCCAAATGTAAAAAAATGACGTCACACATTATGACGTCATTTGTTTACTAAGTGTTGAACATTGCTGAGACAAATAGTCCAATGCTTTTAAATTTCGGTGATAGATAGATTAATAAATAACAGTACATGGAGTGATTCCCATTACGATAGAGAGAACAGATTCCCATTACGAGAGAATAACTGATTTCCATTACGAGAGAGAAAGAGATTCCCATTACGAGTGCGAAACATATTAGGAGATAGAAAAAAAATTCCTATCTCGAGAAAGAAACAGATTCCCATTACGAGAGAGAAACAGATTCCCATTAGGAGAGAGAAAAAGATTCCCATTAGGAGAGAGAAAAAGATTCCCATTACGAGAGAGAAAAAGATTCCCATTACGAGAGAGAAAAGAGCTGCGTTAGTTTTCATCTCAATCCAATAAAATGGTTTCCCTCTAAATTCCGAGTAGTGTATTTGTATCTTACCTGTAGGTTATTTAGTCTATGGGGGATCTTGGATTGCAGGAATCCAGGTCGCCAAGGTCCAGAAAGAAAACAACGCAGACGAATTTAGACAACGACCAGACAAGAATTGAAAGGACCATAAACTCGGCTCGTGTGTCGTGTATCCCTTGTTGTGTGCTCATAAATTAACGTTAACTCAAACATTTGTTTGACGTATTTTTTCGTGATTTTTTTTTTTTTTACCAAAATATCCTATAATTGTAGCCTCACAAGAGTCTGTGATAAGCGAAGAAGGTTTCTTTCAAGTGAACAATTAAATAGCCAATCAAACATCGATGAAGTAGAAGCCTAAGTCTTTGACGTCATAATAACTGTGTCGCGAAGATTACGTTCTTGCTTTAAGTAGCTGAGGGCGGAGGCGTTCTGTGTTAATTTTATGTCTCAGCTGAATCGTGATAGCGAGACAAAACATTGGAACGGACTTTGCCTACACTAACATACCTCTGTATTAATGACACTCACACAAACTGACTGGCGACCTGTCAAACGACAAGGAAACCGATATTCGACTTAAAACTATTTGGCTCCCTCCTCAGGTTTCATTAATTCTTAGGGCGGAAGAAGTAGTTTTGGGAATGGAACACGAACCTAAACATGATAGATTCTCTTCACATGACAATTGTTTTAACACGAGTTTGAAGGAAAAACCGAATTCAATATGATGTTTTACGATATCACGAGTCTGTATAGTTAGATACAAACTATTTATATAACATAAATATTGCTTAAATGTAATATAATTTAAAATAATTCGCAAATAATATTTCTTTTATTTCATTTATTATATATATATATATTATGATTATTCAGTATCTGTCTATATTTCTGAGATGAGGTATTATGTACACTATTTACATTATTCGGACTATTGTCCTCATCTTTGTCGACATATTTATTACAGCGTTTCGGCCTTCTTCAGGTGATTGGAATGCCGAATTGAATTCTTTATTTCGCTCACTGGGGTAGACTGTTCTAGTTCCACGTACCATGTTTAATGGATGTCAGTTATCACTTATCTCCTGTTAATTCCCCTCTCCAAGTTCTCCCCTGCCTTAACCGAGTATTGAACTCACAGTCATTGGGTCCTGTCACTGGAACTAACCAACGCCTTTATCCGCTGTGCCATGTGTCCTTGATAACTGATAACTGACATCTATTAATTATGGCACGTGGATCTAGAACAGTCTACCCCAGTGCGCGAAATAAAGGGTTCAGTTCGACATTCCAGCCACTTGAAGAAGGCTGGAGCGTACAATGGCCGAAACTTTGTAATAAATATGGCGACAAAGATGCGGACAATAGTCCGAATTATGATTATTATATTTATTTAAACTTATATATGAATTGTTTCTTCTTATTTTTTTTGAACCTTTCCAACAATTACCGTCCTATTTTTTCTTTCTTTTTCTAAATTTATATTTATGAATTTTGAATTTTCTAATGTCGTTCATTTTCAGTGTTAGTCCTGTCAAAAAGGCAGTATAAATTATTTTATAGCATGTTAAATAATCTCCTAGTATTTTAGGCTTAAATTTTTAGGCTTAAATTTTTAGGCTTAAATACTGATCTATGTTTTCAATTTTCGTTTTAGCTATATTTTTATAAATTAACAAACTTTCCGATATCTGAGTTTGCTTGTTTATATACAGTTTCGTAATTTGTCTTACTTTCTATTATTTTTTGTTTACCTAGCGTTTTATATGTTAAAAAAAGCGTTATTTTTGTAACCTTCTAAAACGCTTAATGTATATATGTTGCAAAGAATGTCATAGTCGGAGATGATAGTGGGAGCAAGTTCCCACTCTCTATAAAATGTTTCCGTAGCGTGCGTCTCAAAGTCCAGATTCAAACCGTAGAATGGACGAAGGCGGACGATTGTCGCCTCATAACCAGCTGCTTCAGATGGATGTAGCTCGATAGACCAGTGATTTGAAACCTTCGCTGCCTTGCGGTCATATTCAAACATGGTAAACGAAATGGAGGTAAATCCAGACAGAAAACCTCGAATACTGTTCACTGGCAACTTTGAAAACTTTTCGACAACTGCTGCAGCCAAGCTGACACCTAATGTACTATCCTCTATTCCTGTGAGTCTTGTCGGTACAGCCGTGATGTGGGCCATGAAGTCTTGGCAGCGCACGGGTTTCATATACCATCGTCCAGGCCCTTCTGGTTCACCAGAAATGTAAGGAGGGTGAATTTTAATTAAACAGGCTGCTACCTTCATCTTATTAGATTAATGCAAATAATAATAATAATAATAATAATAATAATAATAATAATAATAATAATAATTTAATAACAAACAATATGGAAGAAATTTCGAAACAGAAAACTTAATTAACTTAAAATTCAGAATGTTGACCTGATTATCAGTAAAGCGGTTTCCAGAATATAAATAATTTCGATAACCATCTAGAAAGTCAAGAAAATATCCGTTTTTTATATATATAAATGAACCTGTTCAGTTTTGCTGTATGTCTGCAAATCTTGGCCATTAACAGAGCAAAACGGATATTAAAAATGAGATGCTGCAAAACTATCCATGATATATCTTATGTCAATCACATTTCAAATGATACAGTACGAAATAACATTAATCACGAATTTGGAAGACCTCATAAACACCGCCAAGAAGAGAAATTTGAAATTGAATGTACATTTTCTAAGAAACAACAATATTTATCCCTCATCCCCCGGCAAGAGAAAAAGATACAGATAGGAAAACTGGGGGCTGTGGACCTCACTGAGAGCACACTGGAGGATCATTCACAGAGACACAGACCTTGACACGCAACCAAAATAGAGGGAGATAAGGAGCTGATCAGGTACTCACTTGTGCTGTGACTCTACGACTATAAAAGGTGATAGCATTGATGATGGTGGTCAGGATGATGATTAAGACCTTAATTCTTGAAATGAAAGGTAATTAAAGTAATGTAATGGCCTGGGAAATTTGTGTGTGTTTTTTAATCATTTCACCCCATGCAAGGTAGTAAAGTCACTAAGACACAATAGGTTCCTGTGTGTGAAACCTATTTAGTCTTAAGCGCAAGAGCAATAGAAGAGTAATCATGAAGACAAACGATAACCGTTTACATTGCATTTAAATTTTTGACGATCAACTTTGGCTGGAAAGCAAGAGAGTTTCACAAGTGCGAAGTTCGAGAAAAGTAACTGTTAGAATGAAATTACGGTTATATGCAGCCAATTTCACCGTGAATTGATGAGACCTTTCCGCCAATCTAGTACCGCGATTAAATCCATAACGTCTATGTACCATAGCGGAAAGTTCATCCAAACAATAACCATGAAAATATTTATAGAAAAAGCCCAGGGAAAACTACATAACGACGGTTGAAAAGTGACAGACATCGAGACGCAAATTCTTCTTTGGATTTTACCAAAGAATCTCTAAATGTATAGCACCATCCCCGAACCATATGTGGCAGCAATATTCAGAACATAGACGAATGGTAGACTTATAATCATATAAGATAAATTCTGGAGATAAAAATAGTCTAGCACGTGACAGTGAACCTAACAATGGATTCAACATAATTTTTCACTACATGTTCGTCGCGAATGGTAGACTGGGGAGTTGCAATTGGTCATTGAGGTTAGCATCAGCCATGATGTGAGGAGGTAGCCCCCCCCTCTAAATATAATTGCGTGCGAGAAAACTAAGCCGAATGCGATAAAATAGAAACTGTTTGCTTTTTCACAGTTTTCTATTCTAATTTTTTTTAAAAAACGTGCACCTTGATACTAACTGGATAAAAGAACAATTGTATATAATCTAATTATATTAGTTCATGAAAGAGCAGACCAGCGACATCTTTGTAATTATAATTGTAATAATAGCCGTTTCCTTATAAGAAAATATTCGATAGTGTTGAGGTTGCTGCAAGCTCTCAAATGATGTAGTTACACTATTTTGGTACAGTTCTTTGTGATTCAACGTTCTAAGAACGGTACTTCTCTCTAACATCTACAAGTTTCATTTGATGGCAACCATTAATCTTAGTAAGCGCGATTGTATACAGCTGACAGTTTCTTCTCAATAACTCTGGCGACATACATGTCATTCATATAAACATGCCGATTCGACGAGGCTATTTAAGGCCGTGGTACAAGTTAATGTTTCGGTTTTGTAGCTATTTGCAGTATTGGACGAAAATACTCCTAACGCAGTCTATTCTATATTCAATTCTCTTTTCTCCTATACTAAATTTATGATAACTGATCCAAACAACAAAATATATGAACCGTTTAATATTTACTAATGCCTTATCTCGTATTTTTATGATTGATTCAGAGTAAGTGTCATCACTTCTTTCGTTTTAATTAGTGTGGCTTAAAGGTTACAACGCGAAAAAAATTAAGAATGTGGAATAGGTTACACTAGATGCAATCTTGTCAAGTATAATATTCTACAGAATCAGAATAATAAAACGAAAAATAGGGTTAGATTCTGTCATTTGGGAAGAAAATGAGTAAATATCGATACCGAGGTTCGAGCCTGACACTCTGGACTTATGAATATATGTTTTCTCCAGGTGTATAAATAACGGTGTCAGGCTACTGACTGGGGTGATTATTGAGTAATTATTTAATGACTATTGAGCGGAACTATCCAGTCGAATTAGTGTGAATTATTTTGCGTCGATGATTTGGGTTTTGATTTAGGATTTACCGGACCTTTAGCCGAGCCGCGCTATTAGCAAGGTATTCACTGAAATGGTTAAATATCTTTGGCTGATTTTTCTTATTTGTTCTTGTTAAGTATTTATTTGCGGTTGTAATTAAATACAGTTTTATTTTAACATTGAAGTCTACAGTTATACT